AATTAATTTTAATTTTTATATACATATTTACGCGTCGGATCATTTGAACTCCAGAAGGTGTTTCTCATGAGTCGACAGTGGTGATAGCCAAACTCTGTCCGTGATGTGCTGTACAGTAACTGTGGTGAAATTACTGATTAGCCCGAAATTGTAGATGATTTTTAACTAAGCTCCACATGAAAGGAGTTTGTGACTCTTTCCTCATATCTTCTTTCAAGTTGATCTGTACTTGATAGTGTCAGAAATGTAAACAGTGAGAAAAATGAAATTTTCATAGTTGCTCTGTGGTACTAATCAATTCTGCATGTTATGGTTTTTTATTGTTCGGGATCGATTGACGAGAAGTTCCGAGTTCAGCATTGTCCTTGGTGAAAGAAGGAAACGCATTGAATTCATGGTGTGTGAATAATTCAGCGGAAGTTCCACCTAAGGTTTTCATGAAGGTTATCGCTGAGCTTGGCGGTTATCATTGATCGGGCCATTTTTGTGTATGAGTTTCCCGTTAAAGGCAGAGTGTACGCTGATTTGAACATTGATCGGAAATGAAGTTAGAGATGCTGATTGCTAGTGCGAAATTGTAAAAATTCAAAAGAAGCGGTCAGGAACCCACAAAATGAGTCCTTATTCCGGTCGCTGTTAGTGTGATGCAAGTGTTAGCTAAGGTTATGATCAATTGGACGAGTTCACCCTTGTAGCTGCTGGCACTCTGCCATCCGAAACCATGCTGCGATCAGTACAGCATTAGAAGTGAAGTAAGAAGTTAGGAGCACCCCGAATTATATATTTTCTGAAAGTTGGATGAGAGTAGTGACGATAGCACGGTAAGTCTCATACTGCTGCTACTACTCGTCCATTTGGAGGCGGAGACAGTGGTCGGAGACGATGTCACAGTCAGCAATTCAAAGCGGAATTTTCGCCACGAATCCTTTCGTCTTCCTAGGCAATTAGCTTCTTTTTTAACAGCTTGTATTTACTCGAGACGAACAGCCAAATTATCGCACCCGCTGCCTTTAATATTGGCAAGAGTTGCTCTTTAATGTAAAGTAAGGGTCTCATTCTCAAATTAGTTATTTTGGGTTTTTTCTGATATTTAATGGCAGAGTTCACGATAGAAGACAGCCTATTAGAAATGAACGTAGCTGGTCAGAGGAGCAGGATTGAATAAAAAACCATGTGAAACGGCAGAATCTGAGAAATGGGACCCCTTCTTCCCCGTTGGTTCCGCATTGATGCGATTCTGGTAAGTGCTACCCTTTTAATGTCAAAGCTCGCTCTATGCCGAACGGCCCGAGTCAGACGGGCTAGGGGATGGACGGGCAGTG